CCAAGATCTAAGTCTCGTCAGAAAGTTGGGCTAGACAGTCAGTCGATGAATAGGGGTTGTCCGTAAGAATCTAGGTGTAATGATCTGGGGGCAACATCGTCATCATTTCAAACAGGGCCTTATTTCCACTGGAATGGGAAAAAGGCTTGGTGCCACGCGGGGCCAAAGGATTGATTACACATGTACTGATGTGGGTTGCCTTTCGCCTGTAAAGTTGCCAGCCACGCATGGAAGTCACCACCTAGTGGAGCCATGCCGGCAACATGCTGCCCACGAATGCAAACCATGTGGGGTCGAGGGTCAGATTTCGGGGGCCTTTTGGTATCCACTGCACCAGTCAGCCGAAAAGGGCCGGCACCAAATACAAAGAGAAATCTTGTCAAGCGCCAATGTGGTCTCCAGGACCTTGTCTCCAACTCCTTCAGCAAGTGGCGAGTGTACTATTTTTCCATTTGGCTGTGGGTCAAACGTAGGACACATACACTGGTCCCGTGATTTGATTTTGACCCATACCCATTTTGGTTTTTGCAAGCGCTCCCCTTTCCAAGGGACGATGGACTGGCTTGTCTCTCAATGCCCAAGTTGTCACATCGCTTGAATTTCAGAACTCGGATCTCAAGAGAGAGTGACCCAAAAAGGCTCCCTCAACAAGTCCTCCCAAAAAAACATGCCATCTCATGGGCAGAAATCAGGGGGCTGTGGGAGCAGGCGGATGGAATCCTTACACTTGGCACAAGCGTGTTGTTGCTTTGCCATTTTTTGGGGTGCAGAGAACACGTGCCTTTTTGTTCGCCGTGGTGTTCCATGGGTGTGTCTTGAAGCTTCCCTTTGTAGATGCCAATGGAACACCAAGCTCTCTGGAACAGAAGCAAAGACAGACACCACTACTTTCAGTTGCTTAAGAGTTTGTTCCCCTGTTTTTTGTTTAAACAAAAAAAAGGTTTAAGGGATGCTATCATTATCGGACATTTATTGTTCCTGGCGGCTGAAGCAAATGGTTAGGATCTCAGAAGTGATCATTACTGAGGGTGTCCCAAATTTGAGAAGGACAGAAAGCATTCTGGGGCTCGAATCGTCGCGCAATGCATGTTTATACAGGCGCGCTCCTACTTGGATGCTCGTCAGGTAAGTAGGTTTGCTTCACCATGGTAACCTACGTAGTCGGTTGAGCATCCACGTATTCCCCATTTCCCTTTTGGCATAACCAAACCCTTTGAGACAAAGAAAAGACCGTTTTTCACTTACAGTTTTCGCTTCGGTAAGGTAACCTACTTGGTCGAGCATCCAAGTAAGGAGTCCATGACCACCCAGGTTCCATTGGAATCCTTGGCCCTCTCCAACTAGGTCCCCCAAGGTGCCCTTTCTTACCCTTTCTTACCCTTTGGTTGGGAGGTTTCCCCTAAAATAGACAGACAAAAGAGCCTATGGGAAGGAAGTTCTTCTGAAGTTTGCCTTCTGGGTGTGTGTCTTTAGTGGACTCCCCCAAAATGGCGAACGGCGTCCCTTTTGGTTCCCCTTATAAGCCCTCCAAAAAGCAGTACAACTCAAGCCATCAGTTGCGCATAGTAGGTAGCGCTATTGTACCCTTTTGGTGTTTAAAGGGTTCCCATGGTTACCTACTATACAGGGCCAACCAAAAGTGGTCCACCGTTTTCAGAATCTCCCACTTGGATTTGAGGAACTGACAAGACGACTGCTGCCAGTTTGGGGAGGGGACGAGAAGGGGGCGGCCCACACAAATTCCGCGTAGAATCAAACTTGGGTGTTCTTCACCCAAGTGTCTTCCATGTCCTTTTGGGGAAAACAAGTCATTTTGTTTGGACTCCCTGTGTTTAGAAATGGTTCAGATTCATCAAAGGCTTGATGTCTTCATATCTGACCCTCTGGCATGAACGCGGAGCCAGTTATTCTCCGTTCGATGAAGTAGTTTTGCTCGTGGCTCAATACCTCTCAAGTTGTCGATCCCGGGGCCGTTATTTTCACTCGTGTTGGGAGATTTTGTCCTCGATTCCTCATTTTTTATACGAGTCCGGTTGGGCTTGTGTGGTTTTGCGAGGAGTAGAACCTGTTCAGATTTTGCGAGGGGTATAACGTGTTCAGATTGATTGGTCTTGAAGGGAAACCCACAGCAAAACCAAAACTAGGTCCCCCAGCAGTGCCCTTTCTCATTTTTTTATTTTTTTTTTTGGGGGGGGGGGTTCCCTACTAAAATAGATTACAGGAAAAAGTTGGTACCAACTTATTCTCACGTCTCAAATCTGGAGGACCTAGAAAAGCTTTTTTCGGGGGTCTCCTTATTGAGATCCCCCAGTTTCGAGCCTCCTTCGCTCGTTTTCTCCGGGGAACGAGGGTCGCGAGACGTGGTGTTTTTTCTCCCAGGCAGTGCCTGCCCGCTGCCTTCCTCTTCGCCTTAGCCACCACTTTGGGCAACCTTGCGGGGACGCCCAGGTTCAGATCTCGGGTTTCAGTCATGTCCTAGTCGGTGTATGTCGATGTCCCAGGTGAAGCCTGCGCTGGTATTTTTGTTTGTTTGTTTGTCTGTTTGTCTGTTTGTTTGTTTGTCTGTTTGTTTGTTTGTTTGCTTTTGTTGTTGTTTTTTGGGGGTGGGGAGGGGGGGGGGATAGCCTTTTTGCGGGTGTTTCAAGGCCAACACGTAAATCACGACGTGTTTTGCTTGGTGGTGGGGGAGTCCTGTAGTTTAAGAAGACACCACACGTGCATGGCTCTGTTCTGTTCTCTCGGCATTGAAATCCGTCGGATTGCGCCACTGGACAGGCAGCAAATTCAACGAGCGGCGCAAGTGACAATCTGAAAGGTAGCCACTGCACCCTTGCCCTTCTGGATGGTGAGGGTTCCACCCCAGAGACATGCCTTTGGAGTTGCCCAAATCATCTGTTTCACAGATCTTGCATCTTCGTCTGGGATCTGAAAGCTCACATCCTGCTCCGCATCTGACATTTTGACTGTGAGCCACCTAACAGGCTTGCCTTTGTGCCCGAACTTGCTTGCCAGGATCCGTGACAAGACCCATCAACGGACGCCCAGTTTTTGCCAATGATTGGGCGTGCTTTTGCCAATGAGCATCTGGAAGCATTGACTCTCTTTCCCATCCTTTGCGAGAGTTGAACCCATAGCTGGTGAAACATCCAGTTGCCAGAACATGTCCTGAAATGGCGGGGCAGCCCCAACAACTGGGTTCCCTTTGTTTACAAAAGACCGGCTAGGATTCATGGTTTGGTCAAGTCAACAAGATCTTGTGGAAACTGGGGGCTCAAGGGCTGGACCCCTCATTGATTTTGAGAGCTGGAGCACACACACACACACACACCGCCTAGGGACTGACTCACTTCCTTCCAAAAATCTGGCTCAGTTCCCCCCTGTTGATGGGAAGACGATTTCCTTCAAAAGGGACCTTTTGGTGGGTTCCATGTTAGCAGAAAGGGTTTGTCCTACCACGGCCGCAGAAATCGCCATGTTTGGCTGGCCAGCGTGCCAAAGGGGTCGCCCTCTTTTTCTCCAATTCCTCAGGCAAGCCCGGGTGTTCCAAAATGCTGGTTCTCCACTTTGGCTTCCCTTTAAACCCAGGTGAAAAGGGTACCCTCCCAAATACATTCATAGATAGAAAGACACATCCAAATGGGCGGCACGGTTTTCTTTTTTAGGAGGGTACATATCTTGTTTCGTGCAAGGCAAACCCTTAACGGAACACCAGCTCTCGGGCGTCTTGAAAACTCCCACGCCATTTGTGAAGTTCTGAAGTCTCCATTGCCAGGGCTTCGCCATGGGCATCAGTCCGGCCCTTTACTTGGCCGGTCGCTCAGAAGAGTCCAGCGCAGCGACGGAGCCACGGGGGTCGGCTGCCTCGGGTGCTGCCATGAACTGCCAAAAAAAAAGGTATCCCAAACCGAGTTTTGCGGGTTTTGCAATGCCCTTTTGTGCACTTCCAACTTTGGGGGCTGGGTTTATTCAAGAAAAGAGTTCGCTTTTTTCCCCATGGCCACTGAGGGTCTGGACATAAGAACATGTATCTATATTATATATATATACATACAAAAATGTACTAGCGGCGCGCCAGGAAAAGCTGCTACGGGGGAGGACACCCCCGGGCGTGA